AGGCCCTGGTCTTGCAGCTGTTTTGCCTGGATTGACCTGGAGCTCCGAACCTCCTGGTGGAGCTCTGCCTCTTGAGCAGCTAGGATGGCATGTGTGGGCCACCTGGGCCAGGCCTGGCGTGACTCCTTCAGGAGCCGCTCGGCTTGGTTTAGGGGGCTGTCCTCTTCCTGTGTGGTCATGTGGTTACCCTTCTGCAGGGAGACCCCGAGTCCTACACTGCATCAAGGCTCACCCTCGGGACTCCATCTCGGCTCATTTATTTCTGAAGGCCCTGTCCCCAAGTGCGGCCGCATATGAGGTCCTTGGGTGGGGCTTGGCTGTGAGTTTGGGGAGGAACAAAGCCCACATTGGCTTTGGCCGTGGTACGTGCATCTGATCGTTGTTACCAAGTGAACAGCTTGCCCGCCAGCCGCGGCTGGGCACCCCTGGGACAGCGGGGCACCCCCCGGGGACAGTGGGGTCCCCCTGGGACAGTGAGGCACCCCCCGGGACAGCAGGGCACCCCCCGGGGACAGTGGGGCACCCCTGGGACAGTGAGGCACCCCCCGGGACAGCAGGGCACCCCCCCGGGGACAGTGGGGCAGCCCTGGGACAGCGGGGCTGCGGGAGGGGGGGGTCACGCAGGAGTGGAGGGGGAAAGCGGGAAAAGAACTTGAGGAGAGAGGCCGTCGCTCATCCCAGAAATAAATGGAGGAGTGGGCGTAGGTGGGTGTTTATGAATTGGGGAGCAGTCCAGAATGTGTGGGTACCCCAAGACACAGAGCTGGAATTCAAGGGAGGCGAAGGAAGATCCCTTCCATTGGTTGAAGCAGGGCGCAGTCTGTGTATTAGACACCAAGACCGGCCCACATGGATTCAGGAGTTGAGCGTGAAACTATGTAGGAACACACACGTGCGGCACCCAGGCCCTGCACGCACATACCCGCACACGCACGGGCCCCCGTGGGCACACCTCATCCTCACAGCTGGCTGAGAGTGGAGGCGAGGTGCGTGCCGCTGTGGGGTGCTGGAGACAGCTCTGTCTCAGCACAACGCAGTGGGCGCGGGGCACGGCGGGCGTGGCGGGCGTGGTATAGAGCGCCAGCACCCCGCCTTGTGTCCCAAACCTGTGCGTTTGCCTCTGGTGGTGGGTCAGGCCTCTCAGAGGCCCCCCGCCCTCCCCCTCCCCCCGACCTCTTCTTCCAAAGACCTTGGCTGCTTCTGGAAGACAGTAGTCAGGTACAAGGTAGGGGTGTGTGTGAGAATCTTCTAGAGTATAGGCCGAGCACGGTTTTTCTACCCGCCAGTTCCTCTCTGTCCGTGTGGCTTTGTCACCACGGAGCTGCCTTTGCTGCTTGTCCTGGCCGTTGGTCCCTGCGTTGCACTTGGGCCACCGTGGGTACTAGCCTAGCACACTCGCACCACGGTGGCACCCGCCGAGCACCTTGGGCTGCCGTCGGTGTGAGGGAGGGTGCTACCGCTCAGGGGAGGGGTGTGAAGCTTAACGGGGAGCCCCAGTGTGGGCCACGCGGCAGCACGGGCGCGCTTCGGGGTCCCGGGTCCCCCGACCTGCCCTGCCCCACTCCCGCCTCCCCTCTCAGCCTTCGGTCCGCTGTCCACGCCCGCGTTGCCTCCCGCTGGGTGCAGAAGTGAACCCCCGAGGCTCTGCCTGAGGTGGCACCAGGGAGGCAGCGGCTTCTGCCCCGCTGTCTTGGTTTTGGGGACCCAGGGCCTGCCAGCCCCAAGCAGGCCCGCGCTCCGTCACGTCTCATATGTACCCAGCATCGTGGCGATGCCGTCGGCTCCTAGGGGCCTCAGTGTCCTGACAGCATCTCACGGATGGCCATGCGGGACTGCAACGCTCCTTCCGGCCCCAGCTCTCTGGGGCTTCCATGGCCCATTTAGCATCGCTGTTGGCAGTCAGGGCCAGGCAGTCTCCTGGGGTCTGCCTGGCACCTCTGCTCCCTGGAGACCTGTGGCCACAGTCTGCTGGGCTCCCTTGGGGGCGGTGGCAGGCCGCCAGCGCTCTATCAAGTGCCCCTTGCCAGTGCTGGCGGGGCCAGCTCACCCTGCGCAGGGTGGGAAGTCCCTTGGGGAGCGGGCGGTGGGGGGACAGCACCCCTCTACGCACCCGGAGGCTCAGGGAGGGACATTCAGGCCCCGCGTTGAGCTTTCTGAAGATACTGTCTCAGGGCTTCATAAAGTACCCCTGAAGGCCTGTCTGTCACAGTCTTGTTCAGGGACAAAGCGACGCCCGGCAGCTGATCTTTATGGCTTCCCATATAAACTTTCAAACAAAAGCCGTACCACATTTTGCTTGAGTTACGGTGGGGCCGAGCGTCAGCCTTGTGGGGCTGTGTCAGACAAAAGGGAAACTTCGCCTGCCATAAACAGGCAGGGCCAGCCTTTGTTTCCTGTAAATCAGGTCTTGAAGTGTAAAACAGCAACATAAAAGATAAAGGAATCAGCAGGCTTAGCATACAAACGGAGCAGACTGACATTTGCATTTCCTTCAATTTCCCTCTGCGTTTATACACACATAAGAATAACTTACACTCGGCCTTGGACATTACCTGAGTGTTAGAGAAGGTCATCTCTGGGCTGGTCTCTGCAGAAGCTGGTGGTCCTGGGGGGATGCTGTGGCCCTCAGAGGACCCAAGTGCTGTCACCGGTGCACAGGCCGGCAGACTCACCTGGAACTGTACTTTCCAATGGGAGGCGCCTTTGCTATTGCTTGGCATTATCCAAACACAGATCGCTCCCGGGGAGGCTGCGCAGGAAACCTCCCTGTAGAGAAAGTGGGCTCCTTCCGCGCCCGCTCTGGGAGAAGCCCACGCGTGTGTGTCTGCACAGGTCTGCGGCCATCTGGACAGGTGTGGCAGTCCTGTTTCCGGTGAGCCTGCAGCTGTCCGGTGGTGTGGTGTGTTTGTGGGCGGGTCTCTGGGTGTAATCCTTTCCCTGAGGCGGGTTTTATTGACACTCGTGCTTGGGGTGACTTTCCTCCTTGACCTTCATCCTGGTGCCTGGTGGCTTGCTTGGAGGGAGTGAGGTGGTGGAGGTGGCCGAGTCACCCGCTCGGCCTCTGCTGAAGGGGGAGGGCCGGCAGCCAGCAGGTGCAGGTGAAGGAGCGCTGGGAGCTACGCTCAGCTCTTACCGCAGAGAAGACATCCTTCTCCCCAGGGCTCTGCCCTACGACCCCACAACCCCATGACCCCGCTCCTCCCAGAAGGCCCCGCCTCCCAGCTCTGCCTCACTGCGGGGGGTGGGGGGGGGTAATCAGAGCTCTGACACAGCACCTTGGGGGACACGCTCCGATCGGCTGTTTGGCATATTTGCTGCACTGTGCGGACACCTTCGCCGTGCGGCAGTGTCGGCTTTCAAGCTCGTCCATGTAGCTCTGTCTCGTTTGTCCAGCTGCCGTGCTCCTCTGTAGAAGAACAGGGTGTAAGTCTCCTCAGTCAACCTCTAGTGTGGGTTAAGATGACACGTACCACTAGAAGGTCCACATTTTGATGGAGTATTACATAGGCAGCAAGTTCTCAATGCTTCTTACACATAAACTCACCCGCTGAGGTTGACTTTCTACATGCATCCTGCCTCATAATGAGGACATTTAAGGCACAGAGAAGTTCAGCGCCCAGCCTGGGGAGGCTGGGCTCCATGCAGTCTTCTGGCTCAGCACTGGGCTCTTCATTGTGTTGGCGGGGCTGAAGAGCGCCCCTCTGGGGGAAGTCCTTGGTACTCACTCTGGTGTGTCAGGAGCAGAGGTGCCTAGCAGTGGGAATGCTGAGCCTCAGGCCCAGCTCTGTAGCCACAGGCCCACGTCACACACCTCACACACGGTGAGGGGCCTGCCCTCTGCAGGGTGACAAACCACAAAGATGGCCATGACCTTGAGCATGACCTTGAGGTTGGGGGTTTGCACGAACAGATGGAGGCAGTGTGCCCGCCTGTGCAGGAGGCTGTTCACACAAGGCCACTGGATCAGTGGAAAATGGAGCCCTTCCCCTCTGTGCTGTGTATAACAGGACTTTCATCATGATGAGACTGAGGAATGGTGTGGCCAGCCGTGGGGAATGGTATGGCCGGCCGTGGGGAATGGCGTGGCCAGCCGTGGGGAATGGCGTGGCCGGCCGTGGGGAATGGCGTGGCCGGCCCTGGGGAATGGCGTGGCCGGCCGTGGGGAATGGCGTGGCTGGCCCTGGGGAATGGCGTGGCTGGCCCTGGGGAATGGCGTGGCCGGCCGTGGGGAATGGCGTGGCTGGCCCTGGGGAATGGCGTGGCCGGCTGTGGGGAATGGCGTGGCCGGCCGTGGGGAATGGAGTGGCTGGCCGTGGGGGAATGATGTGGCCAGTGGTGGGAATGGCATAGCCAGCGGTGGGGAATGGCATGGCCGGCCGTGGGGAATGGCGTGGCCGGCCGTGGGGGAATGATGTGGCCAGTAGTGGGAATGGCGTGGCTGGCCCTGGGGAATGGCGTGGCCGGCCGTGGGGAATGGCGTGGCTGGCCCTGGGGAATGGCGTGGCCGGCCGTGGGGAATGGCGTGGCTGGCCCTGGGGAATGGCATGGCCGGCCGTAGGGAATGGCGTGGCCGGCCGTGGGGGAATGATGTGGCCAGTGGTGGGAATGGCGTGGCTGGCCCTGGGGAATGGCGTGGCCGGCCGTGGGGAATGGCGTGGCTGGCCCTGGGGAATGGCATGGCCGGCCGTGGGGAATGGTGTGGCCGGCCGTGGGGGAATGATGTGGCCAGTGGTGGGAATGGCGTGGCTGGCCCTGGGGAATGGCGTGGCCGGCCGTGGGGAATGGCGTGGCCGGCCGTGGGGAATGGCGTGGCTGGCCATGGGGAATGGCGTGGCTGGCCGTGGGGAATGGCGTGGCTGGCCCTGGGGAATGGCATGGCCGGCCGTGGGGAATGCGTGGCTAGAGGATGTCTTCCTGGGGGGTGATGGAGACCGGTTGTGTTTATTTCTCTGCGCTCCAGAACTGGGTTTCACTCTGGTCTCTTTTCCTTCCGCTTGCAGCTGCCGAGAGTCGAGGCCCCCCGGACAGCCCGCAGAGGTTCTCCTCTCTGCCCACGTACCTCCCCGCCAGCCTTCAGGTCTCCAGCGCAGAGGAGGCTTTCTTCCTGAAGGAGGCCAACCAGGACCTCATGCGGAACTCCAGCCTGCAGGCCCGGGCCGAGTCGCTCTTCATCTACCGAGCCTGGTCACCGCCTGTCATCAACGCCAGCTACGGCCCCTTCTCGGTGGAGAAGATGGTGCCCCAGGACCTCATGCTGTCCCCCACCCCGTTTGGAAGCACAGAGAGGTTTCCCTTCAACTGGAAGCTGAAATCTCACATCCTAGCCACCTCCATCTACTCCAACAGACCCAAGGTGCAGACTCTGTTTTACATCGCCGGCGCGACCTGGGATGACCACGATGCTGGGGATGACCTTCCCTGCGTCAAGATGTTTGCCTTCCCAGAGGCCAGAGAAGTGGCGGCCAGTTGCCGGCTGCAGGGGACCCCCGGGCTGTGCGTGGCCGAGCTGGAGCTGCTGCCCGAGTGGTTCAGCTCGGGGCTGGACCTGGAGCCCGAGGAGGAGATCCCGGCGCTGCTGGGGGGCACGGCCATGGAGCTCTTCTTCAGCCTGTACCCGTCCGACGAGGCTGGCCAGTGTCCGCTGCAGGAGGAGGGCAGGTGGGAGAACAATGTCCACCTGGAGGACGGCCCCCTGCAGGGGCTCCCGGCCCGCGAGAGGATCGGCAGCGTGGTGGTCTACCCCACTCAGGACGACCTGCGCTGGTCCCTGGTGAGCCTGGATGAGAATGTCGCTCTGTCCGTCCCTCTGAACCTCGTGCGGGAAGGAGACACAGCCACCTTCTTGGTGTCTCTGGCCAGTAGCTCTGTGGCAGAGCAGTTCACTCTTCGGTAAGAGGCTTGCTGGGTTGGGTGGGGTGGACGTGAGCGATTGCGTAATCTTTGAGTCATCAATGAATAAAAGGGGTGGTGATCATCTGCTGAGTATCTGTGAAAGCTGGCCGCAGCTGGATGTCAGTCTAGCTGGCAGAGCAGGACTTCCCAATGGCTGCTAATCGTGAGCATGAGTTCCATTCGTGTGTGTGTGTGTGTGTATGTGTGTGTGTATGTGTGTGCAGACACGTGTGCACGCATGTCATTGGAGGGAGACGGGGTGGGGAGGAGGAGCATCAGGCTCAACAGAGGCCGGGAAGCAGCTCAGCTCCAGGGGCTGCACCCACCTGCTGGAGGAGGCCACTGAGGCTGGGGGACAGGGCCTGCCCTTCCTGGTGACTCTGTTCAAGGAAGTGGCAGGGCACTGGGGTCCGTGAGCGGCGGGAGGAGGTCTTTGCAGCCGTGAGCCCCTTTTAAGCCAATGCTGCTGAGAAGGCGGTCAGAGCCATGCTTTGTGCTCGGTGCTGGAATGAGCAGCAGCTGATAATGTCAAACCCTCTGTGCTGTTACGCCGGGCAGAACCTGGCTACACTGTGCAGGGTGTGTGTGTGCTGAGACAAGCCCCCACAGACGTGTGTTCTGTACCGCCCACGTGGCATTGAAGAATATCCAGAACTATGGCCAGTGCCAGTGGCTCATGCTTGTGAAGGTGCAGAGATCCTAACAAACACTGAAACCGTCGAGGTGAAGATACACTGTAAACCCTGCCCAGCAGAGAACATGAAGTGGGAGACAGAATTTCAGGAGTTGAGGATAAAGTCAACAGAATCGGGGGGGGGGGGGGGGGGGGAAATCAGAAGATAAAAGAGATTGGAAAAGTATGAAAGGAATTCCAAAGAATGGCAGGGCTCTGTTAAAAGACCAAACCTATGAATCGTAGGCATAGGAGCCGTGCTCTCTGAAGTCATAGGAAATCTATTGAATAACATTATAGTCAAATGCTCTCCATGTCTTGAAAAAGAAAGCCCATCCAGCTATAAAAAGCTTCTAGAAAACACAACAGGCCACACCAGCATAGAACCCCCCCACGGCCATATTTGAAACAGTAAATAGAGAGAACAAGGAGAGTACAGAGAGCCACAGAGAGGAAGGTCAAGTCACTCACAACAGAAAACTCACGGAGCCGGGCGCCGGTGCTCACACCGTCATCCTAGATACTCAGAAGGCTGAGAGCTGAGGAACGGTGTTTGAAACCAGCTTTGGCAGTGAGGCCTGTGAGACCGTTATATCCAATTAACTTCAGAAAATGCGAGAAGTGCTAGTGCACTGGCCTTGAGTACACAAGCTTAGGGACAGCGCCCAGGCTCTGAGATCGAGCCTCTGGACCCGTATAGCCCCTCCCCCCAAGAAGGATAGCACATCCTCGCCACAGAACCCCTCAAAGCAAGGGGTGCCTGGTGGTGGCGGTCACACCTGTAATCCTAGATACTTAAGAGGCTGAGATTACAGGATTGAGGTTCAAAGCCAGGACAGGAAAGTCTGTGATATTCCATCTTCAATTAACTGGTGAAATGTTGAGCTGGAGGCATGGCTCAAATGGTAGAATGCTAGCTATAAGCAAACAAACCAAGTAAGAGTGTCAGGCCCTGAGTTCAAACTGTGGTACAGGCAAAGAAAAAAAGGAAAGGAAAAAAAGCAAGCAGGGCTTGGAATGATGTGTTATAAGTGCTGCAAATTAACAGCCGCCAATCTAGTAAGACTATGATCCAGGAATGAAGGACAATGAGAACCTTCCATGATAGTAGGACCTAAACTTACAACCACAGGAATCCCACCCACTGAAGAGGAGGAGTCATGACCATGCGGACTCCACCCACCGAAGAGGAGGAGTCATGACCATGCGGACTCCACCCACCGAAGAGGAGGAGCCATGACCATGAGGCCATGGCGGGAGGAACTCAGGAGCCCCTGCCTCCCCTCTGGTTTTTGTGCTCTGGTGTGAATGGTCCCGGCTCTCCACACAGCAGATGCAGGTCTTGTCTGCAGACATGACATCTTACTGACAAAAACACTGGCCTGGGGTGAAAGGCTGGCCGAAGGACTTCCATGCAAGTGGACACCCAAAGCAGGCAGGAGCAGCAGAGTTCATGTCGGATACACCCCCAGCCGAAGTGAGTGGGGGGGGAGCGGCACTTCATGTTAGCGGAGGGAGCACACATGCCTGTGACCGTCGGTGTGCGTCGCGGCAGCCCCTGTGCTCAGCAAAGGGGGGAGGGAGGAGGGAGGGAGAGAGGGGGGAGGGAGGGAGGGAGGAGGGAAGAGGGAGGGGGAAGGGAGAGAGGGGGGAGGGAGGAGGGAGGGAGAGAGGGGGGAGGGGGGAGGGAGGAGGGAGGGAGAGAGGGGGGAGGGAGGGAGGGAGGAGGGGGGAGGGAGGGGGGAGGGAGGGAGAGAGGGGGGAGGGAGGGAGGGGGGAAGGGGGAGGGAGGGAGAGAGGGGGGAGGGAGAGAGGGGGAGCCGGCCAGCCAGTGTGGTTAAAATGGTGTCCATGCAGTGTAAAATACCAGAGCGAAGCCTTCTGAACTGTGAGCACACGCTTAGAAAGCTGAAGGACAGGAACGTAAAACGTACTGTGCTCAGGGTGTGGGCGCTAGAGGACGGGTGGACAGAGGGGAAGGAGTGAGCACGGGAGAACATTCTGGACTTGGGAGGCTTGCTGAGATGGCTGGGGCTGGTGGAGGCCGCGGTCAGGGTGAGTCCAGTCCGGGTGCGCCGTGTGCGTATGTGGAGGTGCGGTCAGGGTGAGTCCAGTCCGGGTGCGCCGTGTGCGTATGTGGAGGTGCGGTCAGGGTGAGTCCAGTCCGGGTGCGCCGTGTGCGTATGTGGAGGTGCGGTCAGGGTGAGTCCAGTCCGGGTGCGCCGTGTGCGTATGTGGAGGTGCGGTCAGGGTGAGTCCAGTCCGGGTGCGCCGTGTGCGTATGTGGAGGTGCGGTCAGGGTGAGTCCAGTCCGGGTGCGCCGTGTGCGTATGTGGAGGTGTGGTCAGGGTGAGTCCAGTCCGGGTGCGCCGTGTGCGTATGTGGAGGTGCGGTCAGGGTGAGTCCAGTCCGGGTGCGCTGTGCACGTATGTGTATGTGCAGCAGCCCTTTTGGTGCATCTCGTTCATGCTAATTTAAAAAAGCCTGGCGGTGTGGCCCAGCAGAAGAGCACTGGCCTTAGCAAGCGTGAAGTCCTCAACTGGAGCCCCAGCACCGCCCGTGCGGTGTTGGAAAGAGCTGCTGCCCTCCAGGGAGAGAGACATGTGGCAGGCCGTTTTCGTGGGGTGTGTTGGTGGCGGCTGGCGGCTGCGGCACCGTGGTGTAGTCCATGCTCCCCACATTTCCCCGTGCTTCTCTGGGTCTGTGTTGTCCATTGGTGTCACAGGGGAGGGATGGATGGGACAGAGCAGCGTTGCAGGCGGGTCTCTACGTCTTTCACGGCAGCTGGTGTCACCGCACGCTCATGGCATGTGTGTGTGTGTGTGTGTGTGTGTGAATGGAAGAGCTGGCCAGGGGTCACCACAGAGAGGACCCCCTCTCCCCACAGGGCCTGTAGAATGAGCCATCACTTCCCATGATGCACGTAGAAGGGCTTCTGGTATAGGGGGTCAGTGCAGGTTGCTGGTATGATAGACAGACAGAGATCTGTCTACTTGAGTCTATCCGTTCTTTCTTTTACACGACCGTGGGCATTTGTACCAGGCTAATTTTGGCATGTGTTCCTCACTGGTTCTACTACACATGGCATTACTTGTGCCTGGAGACAGAGTCTGGAGACGGCCAGGGGTTCCCGCCCGAGATCACGCGCTGGGGAGGAGGCCAGGGCCACGGTGCGGGCTGCCCGTGTGTCCAGCGCCTCCGTTCCAGCCGCTCTTGGGCGCTTCACATGTCTTGATGGGGACTGGCCATCCCAGGTTTCTGGCCAGCACTCAGATGCTGTATTTTGCTTTGTTTAGTGGCCAGAGAGAAACACACTGAGATTGTGAAAATGAGAGCAAGAAGGAGCTGTTGATCCAAAGCTGGTGATGGCGGGAAGTTGCTGCCATCTTTTTCTTTTTTTTTTTTTTTGGGTCCGGTCGTGGGGCTTGAACTCTGGGCCTGGGTGCTGTCCCTCAGCTCTTCAGCTCAAGGCGAGCGCTCTACCACCTGAGCCACAGCGCCACTTCCAGTTTTCTAGTGGTTTATTGGAGATAAGAGTCTCACAGCCTTTCCTGCCCAGGCTGGCCTTGAACTGCGATCCTCAGATCTCAGCCTCCTGAGTAGCCAGGATGACAGGCGCGAGCCAGCGGCGCCCAGGTGCTGCCATCTTTGTTTACAGAAACTCAGAGACGCGCAGAGGGGTGGGGCGCTGTGCGGAGGGGCAGAGTGTCAGCAGCAGGAGATAGAAGGGAGGCTTTGCGTGGGAAGTGTGTGGGGGGGGGCAGAGGCAGGACCAGGAGGGGCAGGGAGGTCGGGCGGCAGCAGCCTCCGCTCCTCTGATGGGAAGAGTTGGAAGCGGAGGCAAGAAACAGGGAAGGTGGGAGCCACTGGGGCAGCTCTGGCCATTCCAGACAGTGCCTGGACAGCTGGGGGTTGTCAGCCCGACTGGCAGACCTGGGAGTGCGTGCTGACACACACACACACACATGCACACACACACACATGCACACGCACACGCACACGCAGGCACGCACATGCACATGCACACGCACATGCACACGCACACACACGCACACACACGCACACACATGCACATGCACACACACACACATGCCCATCTTCCTGCATGGGCACACACATGCCACTCACCCACCTGCATGCACACCCACGCATGCACCCACACATGCACACACTGTGGTTTGGTTATGGTCACCCTAGAAAGCCCTCTGGGTGCCCCCAGAGGAAAGCAGCGAAGTAGCCTTGCGGGCCACTGAGCTGGGGGCTCAGGCTTTGTTAACCTCCACTCCGCGTGGCTGTCGCTGAGGGCCCTGGGTGGGGGGGCAGA